AAATTTTAATTTTTTAAAAATATTTAAAAATATACCGCCAGCTAGTATTCACCCTACTTTAAACTCTTGTCCTCCCGAGACGTCTGTGAGAATGTCCCGGGAAATCCGACACCAGATGTTCTCAAGGTCATCCAGCTGTGTAAACAATGACCCATCAGTGTCAAATTTCGCAGAAAGGCGAGGCAATGGAAAATAAAGTTTGAAGGTTTTTCTTCAAAATTAACGCATTTCTTTCGTTTTTTTCAGTTTTAAGTATTTTTTATGTTTAATTAAAAGTTCCTTAAAAAATTCGTACGGCAAGTTCCTACCCACGCTCGAATTTTAATTAATTAATTAAAATTCGAAAACACAGTCTGTTGAAACAAGAATCGCCATTTAGTCCTATTCAATTTCAAAGTTATAATGAATTATTAATATTCGTGAATTAATTATTACATATTTATACGAGTATTAAAAATTATATATATAATTAAGAATTATAAATAAAATTACAAATAGGCGTAACAGCTTCACTTCGGGACGTAATTCGAAATTCTAATGTGGGTCGCTTTCGCTTCCAACTCCACTCCGCTGCAAAGGACGGAACTTGCATCCCCACAAAAAGCCTATAGCCCTTGAATGAAAAAAGAATCATCCGACCTATGGCTGTGACTCGTGGATCATGAGCCCACGTCGAAGACTTTTGCTCAATACATTTTATCCCATGTCGGCTCGGGGCTCCAGTTCGGTGGACCCCTTTGCGCCATTGTAGTTTCACCTCTCACCTCTGTATTTGATAAACTCTGTCTTGATGAGCTTATATACTGTATTTAGTAATATATATAGGCCTATATTATGATTGTTCTGTTTTTTTTTTTTTGGTTTGTATGTGTGTGAAATAAAAATAAAATTTTATTATATTTTAAATTAATTTTTGACACTTTAACAATTATTTCGCAGTTATTAATTGTGACATGTGAATACATGATTTATAGATATTGGAATTTGAGAAATATTTAAAATTTTGAATATTTCACAAATAAGTACAGTACTTTACTGTATCAGAGTCGATAGATTAATTAACCGACTCTGACTGTATTTAGCATTCATGTAACTATAACATTATTTTAAAAGTCGCGTAGAATTTTAATACTAAAAATCATAATTTTTATGTTTTAATATAGTATTTCGCATTTGTAGAATTAATAAATATTATTATCTAAAAATATTTAAGATCATAATTTAACCTTTTATATTAATATCCGTATGAAAAATGTTTTGGACCAGGGATGACCTTGAAAGTTCGTCTGCTCAATCTGGATAAGCCTTAAATGCAGATTCGATTTGTCACCTTGCAGTCCCGATTAAAACATTTCAGACGTCAGTTTTTTCATGAAAGAGAGAATATGGAGCATAAAGGACGACGTTTATTTATCGTTAGACACGCCGAAAGAGTCGATTTTACTTTTGGCGATTGGATCTCTTTTTGTTTTGACAAATCAGGTAAGTTGCTATTTTATCATTTCTCATTCGTGTTACTTCGCTTTCACTTTCGCTAAATACATATATTATTTATGAAAGAATGATCTATTCTGTATAAGACGGGTGTATTATTCTGTTAAAATATATTATTAATTGAAAAAACTGAAAGTACATTTAAATTCCATCTATAAATTTAAGTCTATAGTTTGAAATGCTTATCTAATCCATTGGATTTTATCCGCGTGGATTCGAATCCCACCCTCGTAGATAATGTGCCTTTTGGCTGCGTCTTTTTTAGGCTGCATTTACCTCGGAGTTGTGTTACAATGTCAAATGCACGCGAAGAAAAATCGCATTGTAATATTTTTCTTTAGCCTTGCAATTTTCCTATTCTTACTTAAAACTTTTTCCAAAGTCGATCGCGAATATTTAAGCATTCGTATACGACCAGCCGTATGTATACGAGTTTTTACATCCTGCATTTACAGGCGTCCCACTTCATTCTTTCTCCATGCAGGCATTCTAGTCTGTTGAGTGAGAAGTTGTCCAACGACATTTGGTGACGTCACTGTCGATTCGCCTCACTATCGTAAGTTGAAGGCAAACATCAATTAGTTTGCAAGTTCGCTCGCTGGCAGGATAATTACGAGTGTGTAAAGTTGACGGTTTCGGGATAAATTACTACATTTATCTAAACGCAATACAAACTGAAGAAATTTCAAGTGCAGTTGTTTAGTAATATGGCATCTAGAACTAACGATTAATTTTTCGGATGATATCTCGAAAATTTCGTATCTCATTTATAGTAACGGTTAGGTGAAATTTTGGGAGGACTTCAGTATTTTACTGAACGCCGATGGCATTGGTCCTCTAAAACTGCACAGAAATAGAGAAAAGTAAAATTGGCTATGTTCGTTTAAATAATAACTAAATAATGTCAGCGGCAGGTTTCATAAGTTTATTATAAGAAAATTTGTATACATTTTTATATTAGGCCTATAGTGAATTAAATTTAGTTACAGTATCCACGTTTTCCGTTATTCGGCGTAGTGCTTGCTATCTGCAACCGGATATGTGAAATATTTAACTTCCTGCTGACGTGTTAGAAGGAACACAAGAGCTAATAAAAATGGATCGCGTTTTCACAGCATCCATTATAAATGTTTTGAGTATTCTTTCGGGGTCTTATAAATCCCAATTCTAGCTTTTTCAAAAATGACTACGATGAATGACAAGACTCGTCTTTTATAGCTGCAATCGATTCCAATAAGGAAGATAAATTCTAAATATCTGGCTATGTTCGTGACATCGTGGCTAAATACAGTGACGGTATTTTCAAACAAGCCTAGGTAGGCTGTAATGAATAATGTCTGGAGTTCTTTAATTAATTAAAACGTCTGGACCCGAGACAACACGGGCAGGTTACATAGCGTTACAGAAAATGCAGTCCTTTCGGCCCCCAATTTGTTTTGATTTTTGGAATGTTTTTTTTTTTTTTGTCTCCAAATTTTTTAAAAAATTTTTTCCCGCGCGAAAAAATTTTATCGCGATTTTAATTTACCTTTAATGACGCACGATTAACGCTTTATTGTTTTTTAATGCGATATTTTTTTATCAAATTTAATTAATTGTTCTAAAGTTGTAGTGCACGGATTTTACTTCGGTAAAGTTATTTAAAGCTAGTTTCTGATGTCAAAAACGACCNGTGAATATCAAATTTTAATAACAAATATATATAATTACAAAACATACTATATTATTCACAATAAAAAATGAAATTATACTCATACAAAATAAAAATAAATTCAATGCGATTTTTGACATTGCCTTCCTTTTATAATATTGTTAATATCTGCTTTTATGGTACTAGTCTTAATTGTAAGAATGTTAGTTAAATGGGAATCACTCAACCTATTTCTATCAGCAGTTTCAATGTTTTTCATGCACAAAAAGAATTGTTTACAACAGTATGTACAGTACTACTCCACATGCATAACAGTTTTCTAGATAAATTGACAGTTTCATCAAATTCATTGAAAGAATGAACTTCTTTATAAAATTCAAGAAGGGAATGTTCACTATAATAAGTTTTCAAAGATTCCCTGTTTTGAAGTTCAATGAGTTCTAGCCAGTATATGGTCGGTGCTTCCACATAATTAAATAAAAATGGATCACTAAACAATTTTAATTCAATTTCTATTTTTATGAAGTCAGAAAATCTGATTATTACATCTTTAAGCAAAACTGAAAAATATAGTAAATTACGTGAAAAGTCCCTGGGAAATTCTTCTTTCCTTTTTAATAAATTCTGAAAATACAGAATTTCACACGGCAATTTTATCATGACAAATAAGGCAGATATTATTGCATGTTTCAATTACGAAATATTTTTCTGGCCAAAAGATATTGAATTTTTTTTTTCTTCTGTTATTTTTATTTTCTTAGTATTAGATGTCATGACCAAATGATGGGTTATTAAAAATATAAATTTAAAGGTGATGAAATAATTATGAATATAATTGGAAGTTGTAAATATTTAAATTATTATGTTAGGAAAAGAAATATATAGAAAGTCTTATGTCTGTATTATATACTTGTAATTAGAAAGAATGCCAAAGTGGAAGAGACTAATTTATTCTTTATTTCTATAAAGAATAAAGAATTAAACAATCAAAATGACAGACTATGCCACCAACTTTGATTGTTCGGTTACAAATTATGTCACCAATTCCATCATTATGACATCAAAGTGTATCCAATGAAACTAGAATAATTTTTATGATATATTTTACCAAAATAAATGAAAATGTACCTAAAAAATTTAGGGTGCAGTGGGCCACATAAAAATATTAAATGGGCCATGGGTTTGACATCCCTGGTCTAGAGGCAGCTTTACAGTAAACATCGTAATGATTTTAGCCAAAATCATATTGACAAAACTGTATTAAACTGATGCTTGGTATATCTCTTTGGAGAGATGGAAAGGTTCATAATTGCCATACAAGATCCATGTCATAAATACTAAAAACTACAGAAAGCACATCTTAAAAAGACATGTAGATGGTACTTGTAAGAAATTCCCACATCATCTTGAAAATATCCAACATATCATATTGGTATTTATTTCTGTATGTAGGAACATTAATCCAATCCAATGCTATTTTTTTTTATTTACCATCATTATTTTGTTGATTTATCACAAATGTGTTTCATGAATCTTGTTTCCGTTTTCAGTGTGGTTCCTAAGTGCATTGTTTACTTTATTATTTAATAATATGTCATAAGCAACTTTTAAAATATAATAATAATCTAGATACCATAAAAAATTTCTTCAATAGCAGTAATTTACAAATAATAGCAACTGATAAATCAAAACAATTAATAATAATAATAGAAATGATTGAGTATTAAAGAAAAAACTAGAACTAACAGAAGATAAGATATACAGCATAAAGAACTAACTATAGATCCAACTAATAATATATAAAAATTAAAAAAGAAAATTAATAAATTAAGTAAGCCAAACTGATGGATAATAACCAGAAAAATTTTATTTTAAAACTAAATGATTTCAGAAAACCAATATTGAATATAAAATTAAAAACCCATAAAAATAGAAGAAAGACAAGACTCACCTGTCATAGATTTAAAAAAATCCATGTTATATAGTTTAAGAAACCTTTTTAGAAAAACAACTGAATTAATATGATACTATTTTTATTGAGTAATTAATATTGATCAATTAATAAAACAAATAAGTAAAATAGAAATAAACAAATCATGTAGATTAGCAAGTTTTGATATTAAAAACACACATACCCATATATTACCTGGAACTTGATAGAGCCAAAATTAGTTGAATTAAAAGTGCAAGTTTGGATGATAGGTTTAATTGATTTTGCATATATTAGTAATCACTTTAGAATAAAAGATCAATAATTTACACAAAAAGAAGGAATTAGTATGGGTAACATAATAGGATCAAAAATATCAGAACTAATGATGATAAATATAGATGCTAAAATTAACAATATAAAAGGTATAACATTTTAGGCAAGATTCACTGATGAGATAATAATAGTTTATTATTATTATTATGTTGGGTTTAGTGGGTTATACTCGGTTCACACCAGTGGCTGTGTACTATGCCGGACCAGAGTCAAGGCATAGCAACCAAAACAAAACTAAAATTAAATAAATGTGTCGGTGTCTGTATTCAGGAATTTCCTAACAATATGGCATGTATTCAATATAGTGGCCTTCTGTAGTGTGATGTATGTATTTCTATTCAATTGTAATGTTCCCAGACTTTTGTGTCGTGTGTGTGGTATCACACCTGTACATGAGAGAATGACAGGTACAATAAGCACCCTTTCCATCTTCCACAGATGCCTTATTTCCTGGGCGAGTTCTGTGTATTTGTTAATTTTTTCAGTGTATGTGTTTTGTACATTGTGAGTGTTTAGAATGGCTATGTCTATAATGTATGTGATTTTATTGTGTTTGTCAATGAGTGTGATGTCTGGTCTGTTGTGGTAAATTGTTTTATCTGTGATTATGGCTCTGTCATAGTACATTTTGTGCATGTTGTTTTTCCAATACTGTTTGTGGTATATATTTGTAGTATGGTTCGTGAATGTCTACCAATTTGTGTTTCTTTGCAAGTTCTTGGTGTATTATATTTGCTACTTGATTGTGTCTATGTAAGTAATCTGTCTGTGCCAAGAGCTTGCAACCAGAAGTGATGTGTTGTATAGTTTCTGGCATGATGTGACATTTTCTGCATGTGTCATTTGTATCTTTGAGTATGTGTTTTCTGTAGTTTTTAGTATTTATGACCTGATCCTGTATGGTGATCATGAAGCCTTCTTTTCCCCAAAGAGGCATCCCCGAGCTAACCAGCTGTTTGATGCACTTTTATCAACAAAATCCTGAGCCAGGTTGTAGGGATGTCTGCCATGGAATTCCTTTTGAGCCCATGATTGCTTAATGGTGTCTGTGCTTATTATATGTTGTATTGT